GGGTGAAGCGGCTGGGTTGTGCCAACCTGGTCCTGTGAACTTATTTGCCACTGTGGCATCTAGACAGAGGCGGCATTTCGTTGACCTTGCTAGCGAGAATACCAGTACTATTCTTATGTAATGCTTTTCGACACTATCTGTTCCTAAAGGTGGGTAACGTGGGAGAATGAGCCTCATTCAATGAGGTCTACAGCATTTCCAGGTCAATTTAATATTTTGTCTCAATTTTTAATAATTTACCCACTTCTTTTGCGATAATACCCTCTCCTTCAATTTTTCACCGACACATTTTAATTTATTACCAAAAATTTTAATGAAATAAGTGGTCTTTTTAAGAACATCCCGACTATTATTAACGGCATTAGCTTTTGCTACTCCCTAGGGGCCGGTAATTGATCTATTCGTCCCATCGCGAGCCGCAATCCGGGAGAAACTTGCAGTGTCGAGAATGCCCCACACTCGTGAGGTCATTTCCTGACATACACATTCCGAGAATGTGTATCTCAGGAAATAACCTCACGTTGTGAGAATGTCATTCTCTGACCTTACCGTGTAGCATATCCTTCTCACAGAGACAGTACCGAACGGGTAGTAACCTACTGTACACTCGGCAGTATGAGTGGATATGAGATCCGGAGTTTGGTAGTACCACTGGGGACAGCACCATCCAGCACCCCCGTGATATGAGAATCAATCCATTTCTTGTGTGCCCTCTTGAGATAGCTCCATCAGAGTCCTACCGCATCAAGGTGAGACGAGTATGGTTCGACCTTCAGTATATACACAGGAGAAAGAGTAGGTTGAGTTTCTATATAATGATGTAGTCTGATTTCGGTTCGACTGTGCGTGGGAGCATTCTCCCCTGCCGAATTGGTAGTGCCAATGTGAGCTTCGCAGGGTTGATCTGCCTCTCATCACAGATGTGTATTAGAAATTGTACGAGCCAGTCACCGAAGTCTTCCATCTTCATAGAGCCTCGCCTGCACGACCAAAAGTACGCCCTCCGAGTCGGAGTCGGCAAGCTCCATCAGTCCCAACTCGGGACTCCCAGGACATGTATATTTTTTCCTGCTGACTACCCTGTCTTGCGTGACCTCGTTGGCCTCGGACGCTCCTTCCCGGTATTTTCCGATGATACAGTTTCTATTATACAGATTCACATCAGTTTTATGTTGGTGCCGTACGAGTAACAATTTGCGACTCGCAAATGTGTACATACACGCGTAGGACGCATAGTATTTTGCGCGGAGAATTCGACGTGGTCGCTTATGTAGCCAAAACTAACGTCGTTAATTGAAGTCGGTATGATTTTGAAAAGACCAGCTTTTTTTCATTAAAATTTTGGGTAATGAATTAGAATCAGTCGGTAAAAAAGGTATTTTTTTTAGAGAAGTGGGTAAATTATTACGAATCCGGGCGAAATATTAAACTTACCTGGGAATGCTGTAGAGGTTCGGTTAGTCGGTCCGTTGTTTAAACATATCCCATTTCTCAGGACTAATCCTTTTCCCAGTGTCCTAGCCCGCACCATGCCTGTGTGGATGACCGCGGTAGCCGTGTGCGATCTCTCCACGATATACCGACCCACAGCCTTCCTCTTGGAGCTGTCTCATCTTTCTGTCCTATCCAGACGTTTGGGGTTGTGGATGACGTTTGGTGTCGCTACATCATTCTCATCCCCTCCACTTGATAGGACACACTGATGATCTGTACATCACCAGAATGTCGTCAGCTAATACGAATGTCTCAAGGAGAATCGAGGTCCTTGATTCAAGGAACGAACTTCCTGTGAAGATCCAAAATAGGTTAGTTTGCTGTAAGCAGGGGGGAGAGATTCTCTCATAAGTGAGTTGGAACGAGAAAACCTAAAACCATAATCTTGCTCATCTTGCTCTCCCTTACGTTTCCTCAACGGAACACATATCCTTCCGGGCGACTTTGAAATATCAGTGAAAAGGAGCATACCTCTCCTAAATTGGCAAATACACTACTAAAAACAAACAGAATCACACTGACTCAGCGGCCAACAACAGTAGCGCGCGCCAAAGTAATCGATTTCTCTTCACGAATCAGCAACAAACAATACTCAAGAGGATAGCAACGATTACGAGATTTGAAGAGGAGAAAGATGAGTTAAGATTCGTCTACTACTACGAATCAGATCTGAGTGACTACAACAGCGCGCGCCCAGATGATCGATAATGATAACCTAGTAATAATGATCACTAAATATGGTACAAACCTTGTCGTACAACAGACGATTTACAGGTCATACCATCTTCTCGTGAACTTCTATCGAAATCGACACAATAGAGACATACATTGGAGAGAACAATATTCTTTACCAGCACTTAACCCTAGATCCATGCTTAGTAGTTTTATAGGAACCTGAATGATAATTTCATGGCGCAGTGAAGGTTGATCCATGCAACTCATAGATAGATAGATGAAATTAGATAAATGACAACACGGAATTTCACACAAAAAAACCTCAACTGAAAACGATGAAAATATGCGACTATGCGTATTCAATTTCTGCTTTTTTTAGTTCAGTAAAATTCCAAAATCGATGACGAAAAGAAAGTCTCAAATCTAAGTTCCAAAGGAAACTATAATATGAACACGCCGCAGCACTAACAGATCACATACTGTCACTAAAAGCGTTTTCGCTGTGCAAGACCTTCAAGATTCACGCTGCTCGTAGAAGCATAGATGACAACCGAGAATTCATAAACTTCAATTAAATGAAAAATAA